CCGCGGCTCCTGTGCCCGTGTCACCCAGCGCGCAGTAATACACGGCCGCGTCCCCGCGCCGGGGCCGAGCGAGGTACAGAGCACTGGATTTGCGATCTTCCGACACCCACAGACTCCCCACAGGATCCCGCACTGGCTTTGTGCCTCGGACAGCCGTTGTTATCAGCTGGGGTGGTTGGCCTGGGAATTGCCGATACCAGTGAGTAGCATCTGCGGTAATTTTGGGGTGCAAGCAAGTGAGGTTCAGGCCCGTGCCCTCGCTGGTGTCTTCCCGTGGCTGCTGCTGCACTCGCTCTGTGTCTGCTGCCACTGCTGGGAAAGAAGGAGCAAAGAACAAAGATTGTGAAAACCATAAGATTCTGAGGGTTCTTTTGTCAGAGTCAGGAACAGTGGCCAAAAGGCATAGCCGGAGTGGGATCGAATCTGAGGGATTTCGAAATTCGTGCATGCAGATATTAAGCACGAGTCAGGTCCACACATGCACAGATGGATGGAGAAAGGAAGAGTTAAAGTGAAGAACAGAATGCTATATTCAGGGCAAAAATAAATGCTGAATGTACAGAGCAAAATATAGGTGCATGGAAAAGCAGGCATTGCTGACACAAATAATGAAGTCTGTCGGGGATGAGAGATGCAAGAGATCTAGGGAGAGGTAGAGAGTTGCGGAGGATAGGTTAGAGTCCTCGCTAGTCTCTCTGGGGAATACCGCAGCCCCAGCTCTGTCCCCCTTCGTGTCACCCCCGCGCACCGAGCAGCACCGCGGCCAGCACCGCCAGCCCCGCGCCCCGACCCCGCCGCATCCCGCCGCTCCGCCGCCCGAGCATCGCTGTCCCCGCCAGCCCCGGCTCTCTGCTCCGGCCGTGCCGCCTCCTCTCCCACTCCTCCACTCCTCTGGGCTCTCCTCTCCGCCGCCGCCAGCTCCGCCCCGGGCCTCAGCCCCCGCCTCTCACAGCACCGGCACAGTGAGCGGCACAAGGGCTTTTAGATTGCCCGGGACCAGGCACAGCTGTGTCCCATTCCACACAGCACCGACACTGCATTGGAAGCAAATCCACACCGAGTGCGATTGCGAGCACACGGGCAGCAGGTTCCCAAGCCTCTCTCCGTGCCTACAAGGAAAAGATCCTTTTTTTCCCCCTGCAGCACAGCTGAGAGCGGGTGTGTCACGGCTGGGGCAGAGGGGACAGGGGGCTTCCAGCCGTGCTGAGATCCACCCCCTGTCCTATGTCCTGAGTTAAACTGAGCATCGAAGCGGGAGCGAACCCGTCCTTGTTGGTCATGAAATCGTCACCAGCGGAGCGTGAGCTTTGGAGGGTCAGCAAAAGGAGGGCTCAGGAGACAGGGGCGGCATTTCAGCGCCTCTTCTCTGCAAATATCTGTATGGTGTCGGCGCCGGCAGCGCTCAACTGCACTCGGGCTGCTGTTGATCTTGGGAAGCTTCTGCTCAGGCAGCGCCCCCTGTTGTCCCCTGTTGTCCCCTGTTGTCCCCTGTTGTCCCCTGCTGTCCCCGCCCGCGGCGGTTCGTGCCCGGCCGCAGSCGCGGCTCCTKTGCCCGTGTCACCCAGCGCRCAGTAATACACGGCCGCGTCCCCGCGCCGGGGCCGAGCGAGGTACAGAGCGCTGCTCCGGCCGTCCTCCGACACCGACAGCTGTCCTGCAATGTCCGGCAGATCCTTGGTCC